TAGATAGATAGATAGATAGATAGATAGATAGATAGATAGATAGATAGGTGATAGATCATAAACAGGTAGAGATAGTTGCTATGTAAACAGGTAATAGAGGTAGATTGGATGGATGGATGGATGGATGGATGGATGGATGGATGGATGGATGGAGATTTCTTTGTCCCCATTACCTTTTTTTCTACTCCTCCACCCACTACCAAGCAGGAGCGCACTGTTCTGGAACACTGTTTCATCGCTCACTCTCACTTGCTCATCCTGAAAGGAAGCTGGGTGATGCATCTGCCTTGTAGATAATTGTACCTTAGCAACTGAGGAGCAAGCAGGACCATCCTTAATTTGATTACAGCTTACTGAAAATACCTGTAACAAATGTCATATTTAATGGGAATCTAATTGGAATTTAATAATGACGTATTAAAGGCCTCTTCCTGCGTAAGACCTGGAAGACAGCAGAAACATTAGTTATTCTTGCATCTTTTAAGTTGCCCTAAAGTAATATAAGTAATATAATAGGAAATATAAATCCGGAGGATATATGCCATAGAAATAAAACAAACTACTCAGGGGCACTTTCCCACCAATGATATAATTATATGCATTGAAAACTTCTTGAACTGCAATTAACAAATGAATAAGTAAATGTAAAAGTGTTTTGATTATAATTTCAATGCTTAAAATTCAGTGAAGTTTATGTATACGGTAGCAGCATATAATTAGGAAGTAATTTTTAATCAAAAACCTGTAAAATAGCATTAAAAATCCTCCAGTGCTTAAGGAACAAATAAAGGGGGTTATATAAGTGTCACACAGAAAAAGTAATGCCAGAGTAGGAGGTCTTAAATCAACCGATCCTCAGAGGCACAAATCACAGTCTGACTAGGAAGCTCGTTATATGCTCAGTAGAGTTTGACTCAAAATCCCAGCCACCATTGTGGAAATGGCAAGGGCCAGGGATAGGAGTGAGGAAAGACTGGTATCAAAATGGAGAGTCTTTACTACCAGATACTAACATATTCCAAAGCTTCCACGGCTCGGTGAGCAGAGCGTGGACACACGGATGGACAATCAGATGCCAGTGAAATAGAATAAAGAATTCTTACTTAGATCCACATTTATGTCTTCTTTATATTTGACAAAAGCACCACAATAATGCAGGGAAATAATTATCTTGAAAACCAACAGCGCTATTCCAAGTGGACATGCATGTAGGGAGAAATGTTTCTTTGCTACATTACAGATCATATACAGAGATCTGTTCCAGACAGACTGTGGAAATATATAGATGACAAAATAATCCTCTAGGAAAATATATTCAGGACCTAGGAGATGCCAATGATTTATTAAACAAGACACAAGGAAATTGCTAGTCACAATAATTGAGAAAGTATTCACAGGCATGGAGAAAGTAGATTAGATTGAAAGCCATGTAGCAGTAACCTTCAAAACTGTATATATGCACATGCTATGAACCAGAAATCCTATTTCCAGAAATATTTTCAACAGAAAGCCCACATATGCATACCAGAGGAGTGTACAATTACTCACAGAATAATAGATAGTGATAGATCCACATTGGAAACAATTCAAATACTCATAGACAACACAGCAGCTAAATTAACCATAAGACATTTGAACAACAGTTTCTTATAGAAAATGGTAAATATCAAACTTCAGCTGCTTGCTGCGGTTTTGTTGAGTAATTTTAGGATAAAGAAACTTGACATAGAACAACGCATTTTATGGGATCCCATTTCCATAAAACTCAAAAGACTCAAAAGATATGTCAAACTAATTTATTTTTATGTTATTTTATGTGTATGAGTGTTTTGCATATGCCTGTGTGCCGTGTGTGTGGGGTGTGTGTGTGTGTGTGTGTGTGTGTGTGTGTGTAGTGACTGCAGAGGCCAGAAGATGACGTCAGATCCCCTGGAGCTACAGTTACAGTAGACTGAGACACCTTGTAGGTACTGAGAATTGAACCCAGTGTTCTGGAAGGACATCAAGTATTCTTAACCACTGAGTCATCTCCCTAGCCCCAGGTCAAATTAATGATTGAGCTAGAATGTTGGTTAGTTTGCAGAGGTTATAGTTACAATTAATTCACATAAAAGAGTCTGCCAAGGAGTTTGCAGTGTTTATTTCTTGGTGAGGGGTTTGTTGGTTTTGTAAAACTATAGCAATCTATACGTTTAAGATTAGGACTTGAGTGCTGGGTGGTGGTGGCACATGACTTTAATCCCAGCACTTGGGAAGCAGAGGCAGGCCGATCTCTAGGACCGAGTCCATCTTAGTTTACACAGTGAGTTCCAGAAAAAAACAAAGATTAGTACTTTATATGTGGTTCATAGTTCAATAAAAATCATATGTAAAATAAGAATCACTTTGTTATATCTTCTCAGATTCAGTCACTATATATATATATATATATATATATATATATACACATATACTCGTGCGCACGTGTGTGTGTGTGTGTGTGTATGTGTGTGTGTGTGTGTATGATTCTTTCTCATATAGAATAAACAAAAATTTGAAAATTCCTCAGGACAAATTAATGTTGAGAGTCATGATGCCATAGTAATATCATCAAATTGAAGCACATAAACATGGTTGTTTCATCTTTATGTTGCCAGACAACTCTAAGTTCGTTTACAGCAGCTTCTTCATTTATTAAAAAATAAGAACTGCAAAAACTGGCGTGCTGGTAGAGGCTGTAATCCGATCACTGAAGAGACAGAGTCATTAGGATCAAAGTCATCTTCAGCCACACAGTGAGTTTGGTTCCAGCCTGGGATATATAAGACCTTCTCCACAGAAGGATGTAGATATCAATATAGACAGATACGACCTCAAAACTATGAACATTCCCCCTGCTCTCTTACTTTGGTATCCAGCTTTGCTCAGTCTGCCCTAGCAAATGCTTTTCTTTCACATCTTAACAGTGAATGTTTGCTCTTCCTTAAACTCTTTCCAATCACTACTCAAGTAATCTGTTATAATCTTTCCTGCCTTCTCTAGACTTTGTAAATGCCTTTCCCTGTGCTACCAACGCTCTTGCTCCATAATACATATGGTAAAATCTAGTCCCCAATGTCATAGGATTAAGAGGCTGGAATTTTGGAGTCAATAGGTCATGACTCCTCTACATTCATAACTGGGACTGTGTCCATATCAGAAAGCTTTTGGGGGTCTGCTTGTTTCTGTCCATACCTTCTACTGTTCGAGGGTGCAGAAACCAGGTGCCAATATATAATATTAAAGTGTGTTTTCACTAAACTTAGAAACTGTTGCTACTTTGGAAGTTTTGTGCTGTCTGTATTCTAGATCTGTAAGAAATACATTTCGTCATTTACGCATTACCTGGTGTAAGGTATCTTGCTATAGCACTAAAATGGACAGAGATACATTCTTCATATTAGATCATGTTAACACACTCTATATATCTAAAACAGCAGTTTTAGACCTGTGGGTTGTGACTTCTTTGGGGCCCAAAAGACCCTTTCACAGGGGTCGCCTAAGACCATCAGAAAACACAGATATTTATATTGCTAAAGGAGTAAGTCACAAAACAACCCCACACCTGTTTGGAATTATGATTAATAAAAGGGTTATTTATTTAAAGGGAAAAACTTACAAATCACCGTCCTAGACAACAGCCCTCTGCACAACCAGGAAAAAAAAAGTCTGGTAGCCAGAAGCGGAGTCCAAAGCAAGAGAGGGAGCGCACGGTTCCCGCAGCTGTTTTCAAACCAAAGAGACCACACCCAAGTGGGCTGGTATCTTAAAGGCTATGGGCTGAAGGGGCAGAAGGAGCTCCCACAGCATATTACCATTCATAACAGTAGCAAAATTACAGTTATGAAGCAGCTGTGAAAATGGTTTTCTCGCTGGGAGTCGGCACACCACGGGAACTGTACTAAGGAGTTGCAGCGTTAGAATGGTTGAGAACCACTGAACTAGACAGAGGCTTCTGAGAGAAAAGATCGAGGTTTTCATATTTTCTATCTCTGAAATCTATCCCCATAGCTGGAACATTAGTGCTTACTGAACATACGAATGAATAAATGGGTAAGTTCTGGCCCTCCATGTCCCAGTGAGTAGAGCCATGTATAGAATTGCCATGCATGAAAAATTTTAAAAAATCATTAACAAGTATTAGTTGTTGCACATCAAAGGCATGGGACTAGGTTACAAAGTAGTGTCTGTGTTACCACAAAGGAACACAGAACATGCTAGTGGATTTTGGGGGAGTCTTGACAAATGAAGGGTTTTAAAATATTTGCAAGTCCTTCTTTGAAACTCAAGAAATCTGCAAACACAGACAACTGACTAACCAAAACAGTAATCCAGTCACAAGGGACAAAAAGTCTTGTCATGGTGGCAGAAGCAACATTTGTAACAAGCAGTTCTCCTAAAACGGGGGCAAACAGACTATCTGAAGAACTGAGGGATAGAGATGTGGGCAAATCTCTTTTTGGAAATACTTAAGTTTCTTTTGTGTAGCAATATAAAATTGAGCTGTTTGCCCTTTGTTAACGTCAAAAGCTACTATTTAGTTTTCAACTATGCCATACGAGCTTATTTCCCTTCCATTGTAATAAAATGGAAGCATTGTCATCAAACTATAGCATATCCATAATGTCACTGATGAGAATACTGTGTTTTTCCTCAGGGCCACTTAATGCTGCCTCTCATGACCCAGAAAAACAGAAAATGTTTATGAAAGAGGACTGATTGACTCCGGGATTGGATCTGCTCTGTAGAAAAATGTCTCAGAGTTCACATCAGTCGGCAGTTCAAATCCAACCTGGAGTGAAGAGGATAAAAATATTGACAGGTACTACGGCCTTAAATCAAGGTAAATCCCTAAAAGAGCTCCCAGAGACAGGAATTGGCAACTCATTTCAGCATCTCGTTCTCAGTCCTAAGGCAAGAACATGCTTTGCAGGTATCAGGAGTCTGAACTACCCTTTATCCCAGCATCCGGGGGCATCGTGCAGGTATCAGTTGTGTCCTTTCAGGGGCCTCTCCTGAGAAAGCCGGGATACATTCATTCACATCTCTTCCTGACATATAAATCATTACCGTCAACCATTGGGATTCTAGAAAGCAAAGCTAGGGATAAGGAAACTAGCCAAAGCTTTCTTTCTCAAAAAGCAAAGTGATTTAGAAAATAGAAGACAAAATTAAATTCAGAATTACAAAGTTCCTTTCTTCATAGCCATGAATACATAGTCATTTTCATGACAAATTTTTCTCAGGGAGAAAAATTCACCCTATTATAAATGTAACAGAATTCCTATAAATATGATGCATGACCTACTAACTCACACACCAAATTGGATGCCAGAGACATTGCTGAGTCACAAATACCTGTCCCTGAACTTCTGTAAATATCTCAGTTATTGAATCAAAATGACCACCAGCAGCAGCAGTAACTCCATCACCGTCAAGTCAGACACAAATTAAAATGTTGGTGCGTCATGAGTGCTAAAGTTTGCCAAACACAATTACACAGACTCTTATATTTTCAATATAACCTAATTTCAGCTTTATTTCTGAGATGACCTGATCACTTGCCATAGTGAAATAAAAGCACAGTCGCAGGGGAGAGGTGGCAAAGGGGGAAAACCCCCAGGATAAAATCAACCCTCACTCTGAGTGGTCTTCCTGGATGCATGAGCTGCACCGAGAATTGTCAATGGCTTGGTAAACTTCATCAGCCAAACAAGATGCAAAGAGAAGGTAAAATAAGGCACTGTGGGTAATTCCTTCAGCTCTGCTTTCTAGAAACCACGAAATAGGCTATTACAGCCTTTATGACCATTTCTATATGTGTATCTAACAATTCCATTATTGCAAATTGTCCATAAGGACGTCTGGGAGAGATGCAGTATACTGCTACAGTTTTAAATGCTATACTTTCACATGAGAGAGAAAATGCATGTGCAAAAGGGGTGGAGTGTGTGTGTGTGTGTGTGTGTGTGTATGTGTGTGTGTGTGCAGGTCACAAGAGAGTTTTCTTAGAACTGGAATCACAGGCAATCATTGTGGGTGATGGGATCTAATCTCTGGTCCTCTGACAGAGCAATAAGTGCTTTTAACAGCCGAGCCACCTTTCCAGCTCCACATTACATTTTTAAAAACAGTAATTAATATACATTGTCTGGCGATTTTTTCGAAGAGAAGTTTGTACTTCAGTTTATAAACTACCTTTACTTCAGACTTAAAGCTGCAAATTAAGATATGTGGGCTCCATGAATGCCGCTTAGCCACATTCTAATCAAAAACCTTGAGATGCCACTCCAAACATTTCTACCAAGGGAAAGGAGAACACTACAGAGTATTAGAGTTATTTCTATGTACTAGAACATTCTTAAGTATTGTATCAAGATCTTGTTTATATTTTATTTTCTGTATGGAGAAAATGAGAAAAAAGTGTTTAGAGTCAGGCACAAGGACAGGCACACATTTTTATGAGTTGTAATTGTTGGAACATTTTAATTAAAACTCATATCACTGTATCGAGGTTAAAGAAAACCACTAGTTTTAACTTGAGGGAAAGGTAGTCTACCAAGGTCTTTAGAGAGTCGTCTAGTGTGGAGGGCAGGCAGGGCTTGGGAGTCAGAGGGGTCCAAGGTTAACCATGTGTGTCAAGTATGCACAGATACTTTATCACATAATATTCTGGGCATCCCTGTGACTAGTTTTCGATGAAAATAACATTTCGATTACAAATTTTGAATAAAAAGTTTGTCCTTTTCTGGGTAGTGGTAGCACACACCTTTAATCCTAGCACTTGGGAGGGAGGCAGAGGTAGGTGGATCTCTGTGAGTTCAAGGCCAGCCTGGGCTACGAGGAGAGTTCCAGGACAGTCAGAGCTCTGTGGAGAAATCATATCTCCAAACAAGACAAAAGCAAATAAACAAACAAAAAAAATTGATCTTCATAAAGGAGAGGGAGGCTTACTTATCGGAGGAAGAGCCCAGCAGACCAAGACTGAGAAGAGGAAACCCTGCCAGGAAACGATCCAGGTGAGCTCCCCAAGAAGCATCTCCTGATTGCTAGTGTACCCTCTAATGATGGTCCTGGCAATCTCCATGGTCAACTGTTTACAAGCGATTCTCTTCTTGTTCATAATTAAGCCCATTGTCACTTTCTTACTTGCTGATCATAATGGCCATTCTGAGACTTGGCTCGCTTCACAGTGCTGTGCCAAGAAACAGGTCAACGCGTGACTGTAAGCCTCTGTCAGGACTTACAAGGTCATGGATTTGCACATTTCCTATTTCCCTCATTACTGAGCCAGTTGGCCTGTGTTTACTTAGACCCAGTGTATGTGAGGCCCTCTGCCAGATGCCGCTGTTACAGAGACCAATATGTGCCAGAGGGAGGAGTTTATGGTAAAAACAGGTCACTTAGTCCCAAGGAGACCTCGACCACACAAGTCAGATAAATCAACCAGGAAGAGGAGGGGATTTTACAGAACCTTCCTTCTAAGGCAAATACTATTTATTTTGCATCAACTTGGTGTCAGAAATCAAAGAGAAGATTGTGGTTACTTCTCATAGCTGGGTGCCTTCATAGGCTGTGTCTTTAGACTTGCTGCCTGCTTTTTATTTTGTTTTGCTATAGCCCGTGAGATTTTAGAATATTTCATGTGTTTAAATCTGCTTAAAATCACTTTGAAAGACAAAGGATAAATCAATCAATCCAGATGCCGACAATTTTCATAAATGTTAAGGCTCATGTTTGTATAACTTGAACTTTTTATAAGTCAAAAGTTTCCCTACATTAACATTGTAATTTTTTATTCTAAATTGGCCTTCTTATGCTAAGGAACTGTCCCTGACCTTTGGCCAGACTTGTTTGACTCTCTTTCTCTACTAATAAGGTAAAAGTGGTAGGAGCAATAACCTAGCACACAGTGGGTGTGGGCTAGCTCAGAGAGCAGGAACCTA